AGGCCTCCCCACCCCCGCCAGTCCCTGCAGGATCTCCCCCCCCCCGCACTAGTCTTGCCTTTCTTACCTAAAGATGACAGCCAGGCGATCTAGGGGCACGGTGGGGTCTGAAGACAGGCCATTGCTCGGCTCCTGAGACAGCAGCTGGGGAAAGAAGCAAAATCAGCAGGGATTTGAGTAGCCGCGCAGAGCTCCCCGCCGAGAAGGCACGGCCACCACGGCGCCTCCCCCCAGACAGCCAGGCCTCACCCCCCACGGCCTGCAGACACCTCTCCCGCAGCTACCAGGGAGCCCGCCAGCCCAGTTAGCTTTAGGAAGGACGTACGGACGGGACCTTCCCAGGCAATCCTACTTAGCCCCCCTCGCTTCCCAGCCCCTCTAGCCTTTACCCCACTGCAGTCGACTCCAAACAAAAAGGCATCTTGGGATTAGCAAAACCGGGACCTTCCCAGGCAATCCTACTTAGCCCCCCTCGCTTCCCAGCCCCTCTAGCCTTTACCCCACTGCAGTCGACTCCAAACAAAAAGGCATCTTGGGATTAGCAAAACGTGGCTCCCGGCCCCCATCATCTAGAGCAGGGGTGGGCAGGATCCGCCTCGGGGCTGCTCTGCTGCTCCCCTCCCCCAGGCCAATGGAGACCTGGGAACGAGGGAGCTCGCCGAGTCTACCTCCCCGTCCCATCCCCCCCAGAGGCACGCGGCACCAGAGGGGACCGCCAGCTGCTGAGCACCCTGACGGGGTGGGGTGAGAGACTTTGCCTGATTGGCCTGGGGGGCGGAGGAGCACGTAAGTTTCCTCCCTCCCTGCCGGGGAACAGGGAACAGCCCCGCCCCTTCCGGCAGAGGCCCCGCCCTTTTAGGGGGTGAGGGTGGCTTGTGACCACTGCCAAAAATTCATGAAGTGCCCCCCCTCCCTGCAAACATGACTGGCCACCCCGATCTAGTGGTGCAGTCCACAGAGACTCCAGATGGCAGCACCGTTCCAGCCTGATCCCGGCAGAAGCAGCTCTCAGCAAGACGCCATGCTGCGTGCTGGGAGGGACACGTGGGGACGGGCCCCACAGTGAAACGGCACGAATGCGGCAGCTGGCTACGTTTCCTGCCCTCGGGCTGCCAGCAAATCGGCTCCCGGCCTTTCAGCACTTCCTTGTATTCTGCAAATCCAGCTACGGCGCGCCTCTCCGAAGCAGCCTTGGGGTAAGTCAGTGACTTCAGTGAGCACCGCAGCTATGCCCACAGAGGCCGGGTTGTCACAGCCTGCTTCTTGCTTTCGCCTTTCCCCCGTTATTTGCAGCGCTCGGAGCAGCAAGCCGATCCATGCTAGGGACGTGGCAGCCACAGCGACGCGCAAGCTCCGCACAGAAAATCCCCATCCCCCACTGGCATCGCCAAACCAGGTACATCACAAGGCAAAACCCCTGCAACCGTGACGCCCCAAACGCACCTTTTTCAGAGCCATGACCTGAACGGCACACAATTCACTGAGGCACTCTGCTATCTTTTCCAAGGGTAGCCGGGCAAGGACCAACGCTGTCCCTGCAATGCAAGAGAGAGAAACAGTCAGGTGGGCGTGCAGTCCGTTTCGGACACGACATGAACACGTTTCCCCTGCCGGACCAGCTGCAGCAGATCAACTGAAAATCCCCTTACACACAGCAGGAAAAAAACCGTCTACAGGTTGGCACCTTTCTTCAATCTGGCACCTTCTAGACCGGACTAGAGAATTTGCGGGAAGTCAATACTGTCTAGCACAGTGGTTCCAAGCTTTGTCATCAGGCCTCCTTTTTGATTTTTGAGAAACTCTCACGTCCCCGCCCTCATAGCAGCAAAACTTGAGAAAAAAAAAAAGAAACTGACCGGGGCTGAAAAATAGTCGCAGCCCCTTTAATTCCTGGGAACAGTGTTTAAAAAAGGTGCTGGTAACTCCAGGGAAAAGTTGTTGACCAAAGTTGCAGAGCGGGCCTTGCTCTTTTAAGAAGGCCGTTTAGAAGTCTGCCCAGGGTGCTCCATCCTCCCCTGCCCAAGCTGCTTGTGTTCCAGACAGATAGGGCTCTTTCTTGGGGGGCGGGGGGAGGGCGCGTATGGCACTGCAGGAAACTTGGCTACACCCATGAGAATGGACGTCTGGCTCACTACAATCACGCCGGACTCTGGATGTTACCGGAGCAGAGGGTGCTGGACTAGAGACTAGAGAGCAATAACCAGGTGTCCTGACTGGACGTGACGTTATTATCCCTCAGATAAAATCACACTCTTCTCACTAGATCGGGGTCCCCAACACGGCATTTGTGTGCGCCCGCCAAGTGCTCGGGGCTCGCCTGGCCCTGGGCACGTGGTGCATGCCTGGTGCCGGAGCCGGCCCCCGGCACATGGTAAGCGCCAGCCCCGGGAGCACCGCGAATTGGCTGCCCGCGCTCTGGGCACATGG